AATGCCAATTTTGATACTTGAGGTCCAAGCTTGGAGTTGTGCAGCTCTCCATCTCCAGCTTGAGGGGATTTACATAATAGAATAAAACTTCAATTTTTCTAGCCTGTCATTTATTGTTTTCCTTCATACTCGATTACTTATATTAATAATAGATGTTCCTCATGTGGTAACCATTTTCTGAATTTTTCTTCGAGTAAATTGCACATAAATCAAGAAATAAGATGAATATATTATTTTATTAAGACATCATAATACTAAAAACAAGGATAATATTGTAATAAGTAAGTTGGTTTGAAAGATTTCATATCAAAAGTCATTATCAAAAGTGCAGCATCAAATATTACCGGCTTAACATTTTTAAGCCACGGTTCTATTAAGATTTAAATATAAAATTACGCTCTTTATGGAAAAAAGAGCAAATAGATATAACAAAAAATCAAGTCGATACACTAAATTGGAGCATATTAAAAGTTTAAGTAGGTAAAATAAATAAAATTGAATGGATGTGTGAGCTGACTGTTTACCTTGAAAATGGTAATTACAATTATATTTGATTTTGTGGTTCTAAAAATACGTGATTTATTTTTATGCTAGTTGTTAGGCAATAGATGCTAAGTGTGAGCTAGAAAAGTAAAGTAAGAGAGAGACGTAGTGTTGTTATTCAAACCGAACGGCAGCGAATCGGGGCCTCGGATTGGCCTAAGCTGGGCCTCGAGGTTGAGCTAATGAGCTCGACTGGGGATGATCGATGAAGGACTAACGGTTCCAAGGGCCTCAATGGCGGCTCTTTATGAACAATGATGGATAATAAATGAGGAAACAATCAATGAAATACAATAAATGTAAGCAATAAATCAGAGGAAAGACAATGGAGAATGTTTAAGTTAGAGAGCAGCGAATGTTCTTGTCCTTGTATTGAATATCATGTGTGCTAGAAATAACAAGGGTCCCCTTTATATAGGAGGGGGAATCCCAATATAGTACATGTGCATTTATTACAAAGATATCGGCTGGTACAACCATTTATTACAAAGATATGCGGCTGGTAAAGCCATTTTATGTCACAATACGGACTTGTACTATTCTTATAGGCCTGGTCAGCTCTACCACGTGTCTTGGGAATTTCCCGCTTGTCTATCATAGCCACCGATTTGCTGTTCCTCGAGCCTTCAGGAGACAGGCTATGGAGCGTCATAATAATCATAAAATCGTACTCTCCGATTTTAGCCGTATACAGCTATCCTTTGCAGGCTTTGTCAGTCCTCATCACGTGTCTTCGGGAGCCTTCCGCCTTTTCATAACGGTCATCGACTTACATGCTGCCTCGAGGCGCGTCACGGCGAGTCTTCGATATGCCCTGCCGAGGCGAGTGCTTCGAGGACGAGCCTCGGGCTGTGCTTCGATCCCGTTGAGTCCGGTCTTGAAAGTGCCATCAAAGCCTTAAAATCAAGCCTCGCTAGATTTTAACCGTATACACTGACATATCGTGAGCTTTTTAACTCACAATTGGTCAAAGCATAGCCTTGTCAAGGCAGAAGTTGCAAAGTCAAACTTTGGTCTGACCTTACATATTTGATTAATAATATATCAATTAGTCTCAATTTTCACAATGTCTGCGTTGCCCTAAAAACTAACCAAATGTATATAGAGATTGTACAGCGTGGGTGTGCTACGAAAAATAAGTCAGTTTAAGAAAATATTTTTTTGAAAAATGTTTCTTTTGCCAGTGGATAATTTTTCTAAAGAAACATACTTATTTTAAATTGACAATAATCTAAGGAATAGAAATTGTTTTGACATTTGCTTTGGAATATTGAAGAGTAGTAGTAGAGAAACTACATTAATGTAATTGAACCGTCATCATACTTAGGGTCGTATATATATGAACAGATTTTTGGTGCCGCACCACATCTTGTATATATACGACTGTTCCGATAATGGTATATAGTAAAGTTTACAGTCGTGTACTCTTAGCACATACTAGCTCCATGCCTTGTTTCTGTATGTTGTTCAGAGCACCATTGTATCAATTATCTTGATGTCCAAAGGAAGAGAACAAATAAATAATCTCTCCGTCTCAAAATTCTAGTCACTTTTTGCTTCTTAGGAGTCAATTTGACTAACCTTTAAAATTCTAATTTTAAAACTAAAATATAAATATTCGAAAACTATATGAAAGGTGCTATAATTTCTAAGTCTTTACCAATCAATATTGTTTGACAAAAAATTATCGAGATCTTTTTGATTAAATCAATTAGAGAAGAATGAAGAGGTAAATCTTAGTCAAACATAATAACCTCCAGATCCATAAACAAATCAGAAAATAATGCATGAGATGAAATAGGGGTGATCAATCTTATTGATATCCGAAAATTGTTCTTTTGTTAATCGATGGAGATGACTGTTTTTCATCCTCCATGGAAGATGACTTTGCCTTCCTTTTGCTAAGAAGATTACAGAGGAGAGGAAGAGAGAGAAAAAGCCCCTCCCTTTAATGAAAGACTCCCCCCTATATATAGTTATGGAATCCTCACTATGGGTTAATACACTTTCGCACCACGTCCGCTTTCGTCATTCCCTGAGTATCGTTCTTTGTCATGGCGGGTATTGTGAGTACGGGGTTTTGGAGCAAACCATGTCGTCTTTCACTATCTCATCTCTTGGACGGGATCTTGGTTAGGCCGACTGCAGCGGTCAGATTTTGGCCAATACAGTTAGTCCCTCCGTCTACCGGGGTCATCTCTTGTCGGGCCTGGTAGGCGGATTATGATTGTTACATATGTAAGAGAAATCTGACTGCCTACCCCTTGGGGATGGCCTTTAGATTCTAGTAATATGACGGCATCGTTTCGATATCCTTGAACCATTACGGTCGTTTCGGAACCTGAACATCGTTTATCTTGAAGCGTTGTTTATGGTTACCTGCCATTACGACACACGTTCCCAGTGGATTGAACCGTTTCATGCTCTATCAACTTCAATTGGCGACTCTTGGGTTTCGTGCTTGGAAAATTTATATCTCTTATAAATAGGACTGCACCATTCGATTTGACATATTTTTTGCCTTTACTTAAGAGAACTTTGCGAATCTTCTTTCCTCCCGATACTTCGAATTTTTGATTTTCTCCAGTTAGCCAGGAATTTTCGTCTTTCCTTTTCTTTATCCTTTTGCTTTATCAAATTGATTCAAATGGCTGGCGATTCTTCTCGCGCTGACCTCTCTGACACAACTCCGGCGCCGGAAAATGATGTTCTGGCCACTGGAGGAGCAGAAGTGGTAGAAGATGAGGAGGTCCCGTCGGTGGCTGAGATTTTTCCTCGCCCTGGGAAAGCGTGGAGCGATTTCCACAGTCCCGCCGGGGAGGAGCCGGAACCTGCTCCCTTCATCATAACTGAGGAGGGGATCGCACAATTGAAGGCTAGGTGGGGAATCCCTCGCCACGTTGAAATACTGCCGGTGGTGGGGGACGACATAGTCCATTTTGACTGTCCAGGGTATTGCGCGTTCTACGCCTACCCCTTTATTGTCGGATACACGCTTCCTCTCCCTCTCTTGGTGGTAGATTTCTGCCGCTTTTACGAGGTATGTCCAGCACGACTTTCGCCATACCTGTATAAATTATTCCTCATGCTCCTCAAGTTTGCGGAGCTTGCTGGTCGTGAGAACTTTGGGGCATATGCTCAATATTTTCTCCCCTCAACTCATTTGTGGCACGATGATTCACATGCGCCACCGAGGGTCAAAGAGTCTGGTGGTGAAGATGGCCGATAGAGCCAACCGTCGCTTCTACGAGAATTACTTTTATGTGTGGGCCGAACACCTTGTGGCGGATCCTACGGGGTTCCTTGAGAAATGGAACTTCGCCCGTAAGTTTCTATGTTTTTTGTCGGAATGATGTTTGACTGCTTTCTTTTGGGTAGTACTAAACTATGTTTTTATAGTCGCGAAGCTACCTCCTGCACCTGTTGATGGTATCCGCGAGTGGGTGAGCGCCATCCTTCCTCAGACGGCGGGTGTCCGTACATGGTCGTCTTTCTATGAGAAATATGGTCGCAAGCCCCTTACTGGTGAGTAATATCGTCTTTGTTCGCTATTCCTTCTCCTTCCCTTTTTACTTGGTTTCTTATGTGATATTTGTCGATACCAGGAAGAGTGCGGAGAGCGAGGGCTCCTCCATTAGCTTTTCATCAACCTGCCTCGTCCGCTCGTCCTGCCTCGGCATCTACTACCCAACCTTCATCGAGGGCCGCTTCAGTCGAATCTACGACTACGGCCGTACACGCGGAGGTTACCCCTCGACCTGAAATTTCAGCCCCTGTCACCTCCCCAGTGAGGGAATCTTCCCGTGCCGAGGAAAGGGAGGGGCCATCAAAGAGGCGGCGAGTGGAGTTCGAAACGGCTCCTTCAGCCGTGATACATTTAGAGGAAGACCTTCCCTTGACGGGATCTGAGGCGGGAGTTGATGTCGTTCCGCCTATAGAGACGGTGCCAGCTATTGTGTCTGACCCATCGACAGAGATTCCCACCGTTGTGATTAATCTGCCACTGGCCGTGATTGGGGGTCAGATTTCTGAGGCCGCTGCTACTGCTTTGGACGGGCCTTCGTCCTCGGTACCTGGTCGTGCTTCTTCCTCGGCCGCAGAAAGGGGAAAGGGTGTCGTGGTCGACGACTACGAATCCGAGTCTGATATTGATCCTGATGATGTTAGGATGTTTGAGGAGGGTCTTACCCGTTCAGTGGTTTTGGCAGGAGGGCCGTCCCGTATTCTTGAGATTCCGTCGGATATCAACCTTCAGGGAGATACGGAGGACCTGGTGCCGCAGTTTGACCTCTTGTGCTCCGCCGCCGAGAGCTAGGCTCTGCGGAACGTTCCTGATATTAATTTGATGCACGAAGTGGCCGCTATGGGCTTGAGGGTACATTTCACTTTTCTTTCATGTTCCCTTCGTTTTTCTTGCTAGCCTGGCCTTAGCCTGTCTTTTCGTTTTTCAGACGTATATGGTGGAGATTGAAAGTTCTTGCAGGGTTGATACTCGGGCCAAGATTTTCCTGACGATGCTGGGGAAATATCGGCGCTATCGCGATAAGTGCCGTGAGATGCACGAGCGGCTGAAGGCGAACCCTGATGCTCAATCCCTCGGCGAGGAGCTGGAGAAGAGGGACCACCAACTGATGGAGGCTATCCGCAGAAGTAGTGTACTCGAGGAGCAACTTCGTGCAAAGAACGAAGAGCTTGAGCAGGGAAAAGGGGTTGCTGCAGAGTGCGAATATCTTCAGGAGAAGTTGAGGTCCATGCAATCAGAGATGGATCAAAACCTTACCAAGGTCGATGCGATGAGCACGGAGTGGATGGGGAAGTTGACCGAGTTGGAGAGAAAAGTTGCCGATTTGGAAAATATCGAGAGTGCTTGGTCATCCGCTTTGGCGAGGGCTGCGGCTTTAGAGATCACCATCTGCGTCCTCCGATCCGAGCATGAATCGGGGAGGGCGACGGCCACGCAGAAGGAAGTGAGGCTTGAGGAGCGCATCAGTGAGATTGACCGAGAGGCATCGATCCTAGGAGACCGGGTCGCTGTTCTTGAGGCCGAAAAGGAGCAATTATTAGCTCAAGTCGAATCCTCCTCCGCCGCTGTTCCTCGTCATTTGCACGAGCTTTGGGTTCATGCGGAAGCCTAACGGGACATCTACAAGAGTTTGTGGGAGGCGGGCAACGTTACTGAGGCCGCATATGAAGGAGCACGGCGAAGGCACGAGAGGCTCTTGTTAACTGTGGATATGACTCTGCAACGCCGGAAGCTGATGAGGGTGCGGGTGATAAGGGAGGATCTTCTGGAGATGGTGCCGAGTGAAAGAATTGCTATCTTTATTTCTCTTTTTTTTATTGTTGTTTATTGTTCTTTTCTTGGACTCTGTTGGTTTTAGCTGTAGGTAATTTGCGGCTGTTTGCGCAGTAGCATTGTATGAAGAGGATTTTTCATTGTTACACGCCTTCTGTACTCCTTTTCCTGTTTTGCTCTTCGTATTTTTGATGCAAAGTAGATTTCTGTATGCTGACCTCCCGCTTCTTAGGGGACTTCATGGTCACTCGGGTTGAGTAGAGCCTTGATGACGGCTTTAGTCTGACGGGACGATGCTTTTCACCTTGTGTCGAGGTGCTAATCTGTCAACGTCCGAAAGGTATCAGATTCTTTTTCTAATAGCGGCCTTAGCCGTAGGGATTTTATTTTCGAGCTTATATCAAAGTATCATCCCGTCACGAGTCCCAGTTTTCTTCGGCGATGGCTTTCGGTCTTAGGGGTATCATTTCGAATTCTCGTCGAAATGTTGACCCGTCATTGTTCGAATGAGGTCGAACTCTTCCTTAAGGGTGTTATTTCGAGCTTTCGTCGAAATATTAACCCGTCGTTGTTCGATCGAGGTCGAACTCTTCTTTTTGGCGGAGGCCCTTGGCCTTAAGGGTGTTATTTCGAGCTTTCGTCAAAATGTTAACCCGTCGTTGTTCGATCGAGGTCGAACTCTTCTTTTTGGTGGAGGCCCTTGGCCTTAAGGGTGTTATTTCGAGCTTTCGTCAAAATATTAACACGTCATTGTTCGATCGAGGTCGAACTTTTCTTTTTGGTGGAGGCCATTGGCCTTAAGGGTGTTATTCGAGCTTTCGTTGAAATGTTAACCCGTCGTTGTTCGATCGGGGTCGAACTCTTCTTTTTGGTGGAGGCCCTTGGCCTTAAGGGTGTTATTTCGAGCTTTCGTCGAAATGTTAACACATCGTTGTTTGATCGAGGTCGAACTCTTCTTTTTGGCGGAGGCCCTTGGCCTTAAGGGTGTTATTTCGAGCTTTCGTCGAAATGTTAACCCGTCGTTGTTCGATCGAGGTCGAACTCTTCTTTTTGGCGGAGGCCCTTGGCCTTAAGGGCTTTATTTCGAGCTTTCGTCGAAATATTAACCCGTCATTGTTTGATCGAGGTCGAACTCTTCTTTTTGGCGGAGGCCCTTGGCCTTATGGGTGTTGTTTCAAGCTTTCGTCGAAATGTTAACCCGTCATTGTTCGATTGAGGTCGAACTCTTCTTATTGGCAGAGGCCCTTGGCCTTAAGGGTGTTATTTTGAGCTTTTGTCGAAATGTTAACCCGTCATTGTTCGATCGAGGTCGAACTCTTCTTTTTGGCGGAGGCCCTTGGCCTTAAGGGTGTTATTTCGAGCTTTCGTCGAAGAAGCGGTACGTGTTCTCGCCATCTGCGAAAGAACAAGAGTAGAGAGTTCAATAAGCATTGAGAGATCAAATCGCACGACAAAGAAGAATAGAAGTGAAATTATTCCTAAACTCTGCAGCCTCTGGGGGATAAGCACAAACGTCTCCGTACCGATCCTTCAGACTCTACATAGCTTGTTCGTGAATTGTGAGACCTAGGCAACCTAGCGCTCTGATACCAACTTGTCATGACCCGAATTTACCACCATCGGGACCGTGATGGCGCCTAACATCGTACTCGCTGGGCAAGCCAACGTTAGAGTTCCCTTAACCTTTTTCCTTTACATTTCACGGATTAAAATTTAACAGACTAAATCAAGTAGAAATAAAGGTGGAAATAGGTAAATAAAATTTTGTCTATTCACAATACCGTAGCTATTACTACTACTACCTAGAGTCTGGTGTTACAATTCACGAACATACTACGAATTACTACAAATATTTTTCTGAAAGAAATTACATCTGTCTCGAAAGAAAAGTAAAACAGGAATGTAGAAACATAGGAGGGGACGCCAGGACCTGCGGACGCTAGCAGGACTACCTTGGGTCTCCTAGATGAATTGTCTGCAACCAACCTCTAGCCACTACCAGCTCCAAAATTTTCACAGAAAGTGCAGAGTGCAGTATCAGTACAACCTACCCAATGTACTGGTAAGTGCAGAGCCTAACCTCGACGAGGTAGTGACGAGGCTACCATGGGGCAATTATAATATAACATGCATACAATATATAATAAAGCGAAAAAGAAGTACGGAACAAAATGAAACAGTAACTTGCAGCAAAATGAATACATAACTCCAATATCTATCAGTACTAAGCTATAACCAATCCTTAGGTGAGAGACAAAACTACGAAATAAATTCACAGCAGAAGCGGGATACATAAACAATAAACTGATGCGGCGCGCATCCCGATCCCGCCATATAATCAGTAACAATATGAACATTCACCCTTATTACTCCGTATCAATCCACCCTTATTCCTCCTGTTGCGGCGTGCAACCCGATCCCACCGTACAATAACAATCCACCCTTATTACTCCTCAATATATCACCCTTATTCCTCCTATTGCGGCGTGTAACCCGATCCCACCAGACAATCACATTCCACCCTTATTCCTCCTCAACATATCACCCTTATTCTTCCTATTGCGGCGTGCTACCCGATCCCACCATATCAGTACCAATCACACATTAAGAACAGGAAATTAACAATTTAGCTCAAAACCCTCCACAATATTTAGGCCTCCAAACCCAAGCAAACAGAAGGCTATACAAATTATGAAAATTCACTCAATTAATACTACACAGCGAGACCAACCAAAGTATAACAGTAAACACCGATAAACCAACTTAAACCATTTATGTAATACAATGAAACTACGAAATAGTAAATACCTTCAACACCATTAAGCATGTAGAAGTCTAGACATGAAGACAATATATTTAGAACGGGGAAAGAAACATGCTAAACAGATAATTTGGCGGCACATAGGTACTCGTCACCTCACCTATACGCCACACACATGGATTTTCACATAGCGGATAAGTTGGGGATCCCTAATCCCTCAAATCAAAGTTAGACACAACAATTACCTCAATCCAATGGCCAACTTAACGCTCAATTACAGCTTTTCCTCTAGTTTCCACCTCCGAACCACTTGTATCTATGATTTGGGGAAGAAATGGTATTTGGAAAATTTCCTCTTGAGGTCTAGGTTTTGAAAAATAGGAGAATGAATGAAAAATCCCGTCCAAAATAATTTTTGAACAGTTGCAGGTATCGCAGTTGCGATTAGGGGTTCGCAAATGCGAACATCCCTTCGCAAATGCAAAGAATGTCCTGGGCCTGCTACTATCGCAAATGTGAACAATTGTTCGAAAATGCGGCCTGTGCTTATCGCAATTGCGATCCTGAGCTTCGCAATTGCGAAGGTCCCCCAGTCCTTCTGCTCGCAAATGCGAGGCTCGTGCGATGTCTGCAGACCTGAAGCATACCAGCAAAATTTCTTAAGTCCAAATCATTCTGTAGCCTATCCGAAACTCACCCGAGCCGTCGGGGCTCCAAACCAAACATGCACACAAGCCTTACAACATTATGCGAACTTGCTCGTGCGGTCAAATCGCCAAAATAACATCTAAAACTACGGATTTAACACCAAAACAGATGAAATTCTTAAGAACGCCTTGAAATTCCTATTTTCACAACCGGACGTCCGAATCGCGTCAAATCAACTCCGATTTTCACCAAATTTCACAGACATGACTTAATATTATATTAAACCTATACCGGGCTCCGAAAAAAAATACGCGCCCGATACCAATGAGATCAAACGTTAATCAATTTCTGTAAATCATTAGAATTTCAGTCTTACAATTTTCATCAAAAATTCATTTCTCGGGCTAGGGACTTCGGAATTCGATTCCGGCATACGCCCAGGTCTCATATTTTAATACGGACCTACCAGGACTGTCAAAATACGAGCAGGGTCCGTTTACACAAAGCGTTGACCGAAGTCAACTATATCAACTTTTAAAGGCAAAAATTATTATTTTTCTCAAATTTCCACATAAAGGCCTTTTCAGAAGTGCGCCTGCACTGCGCACCCAAATCTCGGAACACCGGATTGGGTTCTAGAACCCAAGATGCCTTTTGGGTCATCACATTCTTTGAGAGAGATGAGTGAGATTTTCATAAATCTTTGAATCGAGTGCTAATTTCTTAAGTTAGCTTGGTAAATGGAAAGTATAGGAGGAAGGGTTTGGAGTCCACCGTGGCTTACATGATAGAATAAGAGTCCTTGATGAGTAAAGTCAATTCTTGAAGCTCAAATGTCACATTAGAGTTATATATACATGAATGATTAGCTTGTCGCCTTGTTAATAATGCATGAGCGGTGTGGATAATTGTTGGTACTAACTGAGGTATGAATGGCTCACCCTTGGATAACTGTAATGACCGTTAACTTCTGGAGGTGGGCACTAATTTATTTGCTTGAGGACAAGTAAAGACTTAAGCTTGGGGGAGTTGATAAGTGGGGTTTTTGACTGCTTATTAGAACCTTTTAGATCTTGACTCAAAAAGGAGTATTCCGAAGCACAAGGCAATAAAGGGCGTAGAAGCACAAATGTGCGGTCCGCAAAAAAAATACGGACCGCAGAATTCCATCTGCAACCGTAAACCAAGAGGAATATTTTAGCAGAACTTTGCGAAAAAGTGCGGACCACACATGAATTGTGCGCCCGCAAAGCTGGGCTAAGACTCGAAGATCAGAGATTATGCAAAAAGACCAAGTCCAGGAGCCTCTGTGAATTATGGACCGCACAAGAATTGTGCGGCCGCAGAAGAGTTGCTTTGCAGCCGTAGTCCTAAATTGTGCGGACCGCAGAAGATTGCCTCGCGGCCGCAGTTCGGAAATGTGCAGCCAC